TACACAGCTGCCTCCAGTTCAACCAATAAACTGTGGGACCTGCTCCTGATTGGAGGAGAGCAGCGTACTCGGCGTGTGGGTAGCAGAGTTGGGATTGGCGGAAGAGGACTATAAAGGAGGAGAAGGAACATCTAAGGGGAACACCTGTGCAGCCCCCAAGAGAGCCGGCCGGCGGTGTGCCGCTCCCCCACGGAAGTGGGGGATGTGGCAGGGGGAACCACCCTTCCACGGAGGTGGAAGGGTCGGCAGCCAACCCGGGAAGAACCAGCAGCAAACCCGGGGAGGGCCGAGCAGACGAAAGAACAACGCAGGGTCCTGTGTCGTTCCTCCACGAAGAGGGGGAGCGACAGTACCCAGCAACCAGCTGAGATGAGACGCCTGAGTCTGGCTGGGAGAACTGACATGGGTCTGGGCGGTTTTGACTGCGGGAGCCTTGTGTGCTGGGATTGTGAAAACACTGTGGCTGCATGGAAGGGTGCAGGGTGTGGCCGGGTCCCTGAGCAGTCATTCTGGGCTGCTCCACATGCTCAGGTTGCCCTGATTCTCTGGTGAGAGTCATTGCTGCAGGATCCAGGCTCACACTGCGAACTGCACTGATGCTTTGTGTGTTCTTGTGGCAGTGTGGACGAATACAACACTCACTGGGGCTAGAGCTCTGCAACTGGTCTCCTTGGAGCAGAGAAGGTGAGCATGAGAGTATGACAACAGAACTGATAAAACTCTCTCCTCTTACAAAAAAATAAGAGAGATTGGCCAGTGCCACGGCTCACTTGGTTAATCCTCCACCTGCGGCACCAGCACCCCAGGTTCTAGTCCCAGTTGGGGTGCCAGATTCTGTCCCAGTTGCTCCTCTTCCAGTCCAGCTCTCTGCTGTGGCCTGGGAAGGCAGTGGAGGATGGCCCAGGTCCTTGGGCCCTGCACCTGCATGGGAGACAGGAGGAAGCACCTGGCTCCTCGTTTTGGATTGGTGCAGCACACCAGCTGTAGCAGCCATTTGGAGGGTGAACCAACAGAAAGGAAGACCTTTCTCTCTGTCTCTCTCTTACTAACTCTGCCTGTCTTAAAAAAAGAGAGAGATACCACCACCACCATGTTTATTGCAATACAGTTCACAGCAGCCACAAGGAATAAACAAGGATTTATTTATGAAGATTAAACAAAGATTTCCATCATCAGATGAATTACTAAGGAAAGCATGGTATAGATTGATGATCAAATGTTATTCAGGACTTAAAAATAATGAAATTTTATCAAGTGCATCAAAATGGAGTTACTGGAGGACTTCATCTTAGAGAAATCAGCCAGAAAAAGAAAAATACCACATGTATTACCTTACATGTGGAAGTTAACTTTTTGAAAAATTCAAAACACAAAAACAAAAAAAATGCCAATGTGTATCACTATTGCTGCAAATATACTCCTAGAAAACACTATCTGATAACTTGGACAAACCAGTGGTTAAGAACAGAACACTGGGGCCAGAACTGTGGCATAGTAGGTTAAGCATCCATTGTGGTGCCGGCATCCCATATGGGCACCAGTTCAAGTCCAGCTGCTCCACTTCCAATCCTCTTCCTTACTGATGGCCTGAGAAAGCAATGGAAGATGGCCCAAAGGCTTGGGCCCCTGCAACATAGCGGGAAAAACAGAAGAAACTCTTGGTTCCTGGCTTTGCACTGGCCCACCTCCAGACATTGTGGCCATTTGTGGAATGAACCCATATTTATGGAAGACCTCTAACTCTACGCCTCCCTCTCTCTGTAACAATACCTCTCAAGAAAACTAATGTTTCTTTTTTTTAATTTAATGTCCTAAAATAAAAGATCATCATACTTCTCTGGTGGAACTTTATTCTTTCTACCTTTTACCTATGAATATTATGGTTACCCTGAATATTACATGGATTATAATCATATCATGAAAAATAGATGAAAAGAGGAAAGGGGAAGAGAGGAAATTCTGGGTTTATTCTTAGAACTGTACCTCCACAATTCATGAAATATGATCTCTTTGCATTCATTTTAAAAATAATTGAAGGGGCAGGGGCTGTGTGGCAGTGTATTAAAGCCCAGGCTTGAAAGGTGGGAATCCCACCACATGGGCACAGGTTCTAGTTCACGCTGCTCCTCTTCTGATCTAGCTCTCTGCTATGGACTGGGAAAGCAGTAGAAGATGGCCCAAGTCCTTGGGCCCCTGCATCCACGTGGGAGACCTGGAAGAGGCTCCTGGTTCATAACTTGCGATCGGCTCATATCTAGCCATGTGGCAATTTGGGAAATGAACCAGCAGAGTGAAGACTTCTCCCTCTATCTCTACACCTCTTTCAGTAATTCTGTCTTTTAAGTAAGTAAAAGTAAATTTTAAAAAATTTTAAAAAGAAAAAAGAATGTTACATTAGTATAGTTTTAATGATCTGTGATTACTTTAAATTTAGGGTATATAAATAAAATGGTCAATTTTCCATTCAACTGATTATACTTGTTACTTATATTCCCTATAAACGAGGGATTCTAATCTTTCCTTATTTTTAGAAGATCTATTTTTTTTTTTACAAAGACATTGTTACATACAGAGAGTGAGAAAGAAGGAGAGATCTTCCATCTGCTGGTTCACATTTCCAGGTCTCCCACATGGGTGCAAAGTCACAAGCACTTGGGCTGCTCTCTCCTGCTTTGGTGCATTAGCATGGAGTTGGATCAGAAATGGAGTATAAACCGGTGCTGTGGCATAACGAGTAAGGGTGCCTCCTGCAGTGCCGGCATCCATATGGGTGCCGGTTTCAAGTCCCAGCTGGTCGACTTCTGATCCAGCTCTCTGCTATGGCCTGGGAAAGCAGTGGAAGATGGCCCAAGTCCTTGGGCCCCTACACCTGCACTGGAAGACCCTGAGGAAGCTCCTGGCTCCTGGCTTCGGATCAGTGCACCTCTGGCCATATGGACCTTCCAGGGAGTGAACCAGTGGATTGAAGACCTCTCACTCACTCTCTCTGCCTCTCTATAACACTGTCTTTCAAATAAATGAATACGTCTTAGAAAAAAAAAAGAAGTGGATTAAATGGGACTTGAACAAGCACCCATAGGGGATGCCAAACATTGTCCCCCCCCCCATTTTTTAGTATCTGAACTTCTTATACGGTAAAGAATTTAGCTTTTTTACTAAAATGCAAATATAGAAACTGTCCAAAAATGGATGAAAGTAAGGAAAGGAGGAACAAATGGAGAAAGAAAGGAAGAGGTACACTGGGAGAGACAGCGTTGGAAGGAGAGCAGAAAGAAGGGAATGTTGATTCATAATTGTTCTATAGAACATATTGAAGAATTTTGTTAACCTAAAAAACAAATACATCTACTGGGATGTATTAATCTTTGATGGAGATTTATATAAAATAGGTAAGCACTCAAATTGCAGGAAAATTAAAAATGTAAAATGTGCATGTTCACAAAATTCTGTACAAGGAAAACATGACTTTTATAAAAATGTAAGTTTGAAAGTCTTTCTGTAGAAATAAACTATAAAGTGAGAGTATAAAAGCTATATAAATTCTGCATAAGTGTTACTCAAAAATAACACTGCATTGAAAAGAAAAACATAAGGAAGAATTTGCATTCCTAATAAATGTGACAGCGTGAAATAAGACAAGGTATAATGGCTCATAAAAGCAAATGGAAACATCAGAGATGGTATAAAAAAACACATGAGGAATAGGAAGTACTACAAAGTATACATTGCAACATAAGGGGAAGATATTTCAAGAACTCCTACCTGGTAAAGTCCTGCAGGACTAAGTCATTCCCAGCCCCCAAACAGCAATCAGAACAAAAACTCCATGAAAGCAGAAGCTTTCACACAGAGCTGCCTACAAGGATATGGAAAACATGCACCATGACAAAGCTGTGTGCAGTTCATCAAAATGTCTTGAAAGACAACAAACTCACAACTGCTTCTTTCCACAAACTTTTCAAAGTACCTCACGTTGCCCCCTGCATTACATTAAATAACGAGAACAAATGCTGGCACATAACAGAAACATCTTGAAAGACAAGAAATACACCTTTACCAAGACAGAGTCCTCTGCCCAAATTCAGACTTCTATAAGCTGACCTCAAGCCTCAAATTTCATTCCAGGCTTGATCAGGTTCTTGTCTTCCTAAGCACACCACCAATCCAGTTTTCTCCCAGATAATCCTCTCCCATCCCTGGTATTCCAGAGAGCTTTGTCAAAGTTTCCTAATTAACCGTGCACCCATACCACAGTCCCTAAGAAAGACCACACCACACCCATCACCATTTTCTTACCCTCATTTTCCTAAGGTTGTTGCCCAGATGCTGTCCCAGGTCTAATACTCGGAGACTCCACCAGTTCTACTAGTAGACCTACCAGCTCCTCCCTATTACAACTCTACTGAAAGTCACCTGACCTCCTCCATACACTCCTTCCATTTCCCTGTCTATATCACAGAGTGGCAATATACAGAAATTACCTGATTTCAGCTCCCAACACATTGCATGCCCCGGTTCTTCCATGAAATCTAACCCTCCACTCACACCACACTAAATACCTCCATCCCGTCATTCTTAGGCCCGAAATCTCAAACCCAAACTTTTATTAACACGTCTCTCCAATCCAGACTTCTTGGGTTTTGTACTCTGACTCAACAGCACACACTTGTCCTCCAGGTCTCCCTCCCATTTCCTGGATACCCAAGTCTTTCCCTATTACCATGTTCTTTGGCCCCTAATTCTCTGCAGTGCCCGGGGGAACTCATTCCCCCAACATCCTATCCATCCCTGTCTGCATGCTATCCAACTCTACTGAAGCCCACCAGGCCCCTACATTTCTCCCCATGCCTGTGGGGCTACCCACATGACCCTCCCTGCCATGGGAATGACGTCCGCATCTCTGTCAGCCTGGGCCGCCCAACCCCAGGGAATGGGCTTTCCCTTCCCTTCCCCTTGTGCATCCAGACATGGCCACTACTGGGGCAGCCACATCTGCTCACCAGTTGCTCCTCTCCAGGAAGAAGACCCAGCTGGCGTTGAGCAGGAAGCTGTGCAGTCTCTCTGGGAATGGGAGATTACTTGGCAGCTGAGCTTCAGCATCCACTCTGGGTTAGTTTCACATCCAGATCCTCTGGGAGGGAGGAGGGGAGGCAGACATCGCTTCTCGGCTTCCTCATGGCTGAGCCGCTGACTCCGAACCTGTGGATTTCGAGGGAGAATGCTGCTGGAAGTCACGGGATCCCATCTCCTTTGAGGCAGCCCCTGGGCATCTCTGTCCTGTTAGCTTAAATGCGCAAGTGCCATCCAAATAACACCTCCCCCTTCCTCCCAGGAAACACAGTGTCAGTGGAGGAGGCCAAGCTACCTTGATGAATCAGGGGAAGTGGCCTTAGCTCTAAATGGCACTGCAGCCCTGTGCTCATCACAATCAGAAATGCTCCAAGGACATCGTCGATTCCCATCCAGCCCACCAGAATCTCAGGGCAGTATGGAGCTCTCTAGAGCTCTGGGCTGACACCTAGACAATCCCGTTGGTGCAGCGCTCTGACAAACTGCCCGTGGTCAGGGTACTGAATGGAGGATACCTGCCCAGCATCCTTGGCCTAGTCGGTGGCCGGGGCTGCTGCCCGGAGTCAGACAAGCAGGCCTGGTGCTGTGTTACAGCACGTTAAAGCCACGGCATGCAGTGCTGTCTTTCCATGTCGGTGCCAGTGTGTGTTCTGGCTGCTCCACTTCCAATCCAGCTCCCTCCTAACATGCCTGGGGAAGCGGTGGAGGATGTCCCAATTCCTTGGGCCCCTGCAGCCACATGGGAGACCCAGAAGAAGGTCCTGGATCCTGACTTCATATTGGCTCAGTTTGGCCATCACGGTCATTCCAGGAGTGTACTGGCAAATGGAAGACCTCTCTCCCTCTCATACTCTCTCAATCTCGTTCACCTGCACTTGTTCTGTTTCTAATTCTTTTTTTTTATTTTATTGATTTTTTTTGACAGGCAGAGTTAGTGAGAGGGAGAGACAGAGACAAAGGTTTTCCTTCTGTTGGTTCACCTCCCAAATGGCCACTATGGCCAGCGCTACACCAATCCAAAGCCAGGAGCCAGCTGCCACCTCCTGTTCTCCCACGCGGCTGCAGGTGCCCAAGCACTTGGGCCATCCTTCACTGCCCTCCTGGGCCACAGCAGAGAGCTGGACTGGAAGAGGAGCAGTTGGGAATAGAACCTGGTGCCCATATGGGATGCCGGCATTACAGGCAGAGGATTAGCCAAGTGAAACACATTGCCGGCCTTCTCTCTAATTCTTAGAAATAAATGAAATAGGTCAGCACCGCGGCTCACTAGGATAATCCTCCTCCTAGGGGCGCTGGCACACCGGCTTCTAGTCCCGGTTGGGGTGCTGGATTCTGTCCCGGTTGCCCCTCTTCCAGGCCAGCTCTCTGCTGTGGCTAGGGAATGCAGTGGAGGATGGCCCAGGTGCTTGGGCCCTGCACCCCATGGGAGACCAGGAAAAGCACCTGGCTCCTGGCTCCTGCCATCGGATCAGCGCAGTGCGCCGGCCGCAGCGCGCCGGCCGCGGCGGCCATTGGAGGGTGAACCAACGGCAAAGGAAGACCTTTCTCTCTGTCTCTCTCTCTCACTGTCCACTCTGCCTGTCAAAAAATAAAAAAAATATTAAAAAAAATTAGAAAAAAAGAAATGTTTTTATTAAAAAGCCACATTATCATCTCATTAGATAGAGAAATAACCTGAAAGATCCAATCCTATTCATGATAAAAAAAAATTCCACAAAGTAGGTATAAAAGGAATAGGCATCAAAATCTTAAAGGCTATGTATCACAACTCAACAGCCAATGCCATGCTGGATGGGCAAAAAGTGAAAGCATTTTTGTCAAACATGTAACAACACAAGGATATCCCCTTTTAAAATTCTTACTGAATGCAGTACAGTAAATTTTCACAAGAGAAAGAAAGGAGAAGAAAGAAATAAACAGCACCAATGTTATAAAAGAGAAAGTGAAATTCTAAAAGCTTACAGATGGCATGATATGGTACCAGAAAAAAACTAAAACAATCCACCAAAAACACTGCTAGAACTGGTGAAACAATTAAGTGAAGTTTCAGGTTATGAATAAACATAGTGTGTAAGCAGCAGTGTTTATACATTAATGATGAACTCACTGACAGAGCAATCAACAAATATCCCAAGGACAATAACCACAAAAATAAAAAGTTTAGGAAAAAATTTAACCAAAGAAGTCAAAGAGCTCTAAATGAAAATCACCACACACTGATGAACAAAATCACCAAGGACACAAAAGTGGAAAGATGTCTCTTTTGGTGGATTTGAAGAATCAGTATAATTAAAATCTCTACCTTGCCTAATGCTACCTAAAGATTCAATTAAATTTTCATCAAAACACCAATGACGTTTTTTACAGAATTATATACCACAAACCTATAATTCAAACAAAATCACAGAAGATGCAGAAAAGATAAGGTGTTTCTGAGCAAAAAGTGAAACAAAGTTATTAGCCTGGATACCTCACAACACCTGATTCAAAGCATTCTACAAATGACACTAAACAAAATATCATAGCACTTGCATAAAAAGTGACACACAGACCAATGGAAGAGAACAAGGCGAGCTCCAATATTAATCAAAATATGTTCAATACCATATTTTTACAAAAGGTCTCAGACCATCCATTGGATTTCTTCAACAAGTGGTGTTGCCAAAAATGGATGTATTTGTGTAGAAGATTGAAATTAGATTCATAACTCCAACAAAATATGAAAATCAACTCAAAATGGATCAGAGACCTAAATCTATGACCCAGCACTGTGAAGCTTTTTGAAGGAAATACAAACAAAGCTCCAAGACACTGGAATAGGGGATGACTCTTAGACAAGACCCTCAAAGCCCAGGCAGCTAAAGCAAAACCAAACAAATGGGATCAAATGAAATGAAAAGCTTTGCACAGCAAAGGAAATCATCATAGAGTGAAGATTCATTCACAAGAATGACCAAAGGATACTTGTCAGCAACCTATATGAAAAGGGTTAATATCAGGAATACATCTGCAACTTAAAAAAAAAACACCAATAAAAAACCCAACCAATCCAGTTATGAAGTAGCCAAAGGAACTCAACAGACAGTTCCCCATCGATATACAGATGGCCAAGAAATATAGGAAAAATGCGCAACATCACAAGCCATCAGGGAAATGCAAATCCAAACCACAATGAGATATCAGCTCACACGTACATACTGGCTAAAACCCAAAGGACGGAGAGTCACAATGAGGAGGAAGATGTGGGAAAAGGGAAAAACTTACCCACTGGTGGTAAAAATGTAAATTAGTGCAGACGCTGTGGAAAACGGTATGGAGATTTCTTAAAAAACCAGACAGACTTGCCATACGATATGGAGCAATCCCTCTACTGGCTATAACCCAAAACACATGAACATATTGTATCAGAGAGATACGTCCACCACAATATTTATTGCAGTATGCTTCACGGCAGTGAAAACAAGAAACTGACGAAGTCTTCTAACATCATCGTTGAATGGGTAGGAATAATACTACACACACACACACACAGTGAAATAACCTTACAAATCCTTCTTTCCACAAACTTTTTCAAGGACCCACATGATGCTCTCTGCATTACCTTAAGTAACTACAACAAATGTGGGCACATCACAGACACTCCTTTGAAACCCAGAAAAACACGTTTACCAAGAGAAAGTCCTCTGCTATAATTCTGACTTCTACAAACTGAATACAAGCCACAAACTTCATTCCCAGGCTATGCCAGTTTCTCCATGTACCTAAGCCCCCTATCAACACTTATCTGATTTCAACTAAGATCTTCTCCATCTCTTGGTAGTCGGGAGACTTTGGTCAAATTTCCTGATTAACTCAGCACACATTCCCCAGTACCTTCTGAAAGGTCCCTCTGACCACCTCCTGATATCCGTTCCCTCACTTTAACTAAGGTTTCTCCCCAGGCCCTGTCCTGCATCTAACACTCTGATGCTCCACTAGTTCTTACAAGTAGATCTACCAGCTCCTCCCTATTACAACTCTCCTCATGGTGGCATGCCTTCCTCCATGCAATCCTTCTCTTTTCCCTTTCTATCACTGGATGGTGACATACAGAAATAACCTGTTTTCAGCTCCCAAAACCTTGCATGAACCAGGTTCTTCCATGGCATCTAACCCTCCACTCCCGCTGCATGAAGTACTTGCAATCCCATCGTCCTTAGCCTGAAAATCTAAAACATAACAACTACTACCACGTCTCTCCAAAGCAGACTTCTTATCTTTTGTACTCTGAGTCAACACATGCAGTTTTCCTCCCAGGTCTCCCTCCCACTGCCTGGAGACACAATCTTCCCTTCTTAGCATGTTCTTTGGCCCCTAATTCTCTGCAGCACCCGAGGGAATGCATTCACCAACATCTTATTCACCTCTGTCTCTGTGGCCAACACTCTATTCTAGGAATGCTAGGCCCCCACATTTCTGTCTCCAAATGTCTATAGGGCTCCCCCACTTGACCCTCCTTCCCAAAGCTTGGAAGTCCACCTTACTCTCAGCCTCGCCAGCCCAACTCCAGGGAACAGAGGTCCCATCCCTTCCCTTCTCTCCCCCTTGGCCCAAAGGCTGCCATCTACAGGACGCATCCATGTCTACTAACCAGTTGCTCCTGTCCAGGGTGAAGGCCTAGCCGGGTTTTACAAGGAAGATGAGCAGGCTCCAGAAATGGAAGATTACCCAGCAGCTGAACTTCAGCGTCAACTCGGTGTCCAGTTTCATATCCATGAAAATGTCTACAATGAAAATTAATAAACATTAAAGAAATAGAAAAAGACACACAAAAATGGAAAAATCTGCCATGTTCATTCATTGGTAAAATCGACAAAATGAAAATTTCCATTCTACCATAAGCAATTTAGAGATACAATGGGATCCCAACCAAAGGACAAATAACATTTTGCCCAGATGGAAAGAAAACAATGCTGAAATTCATATGAAAACACAGAACATCCAAATACTGAAAGCAACCATATACAACATTGACAAAACTCAAAGCGTCGCAATAACAGATTGTAAGACACAGAACAGGGCAGTTACGATCAAAACAGCTTGGTACAGGCAAAAAAAGAATGACATATAGAACAATGGAACAGAAAAGAAACACCTGAAATAACGCACACATCTACAACTACTCTGTCTTTTAAAAGTGCTAAAGATCAATCCCAGGTGCAAAGGACAGTTTCTTCAAAAACTGGTCCTGAGAAAACTGGACCTCCACATGCAGAACTCTGAAAGAAGCCCGATACCTTACACCTTATACAAAAAGCAACGAAAAACACTTCAAGGAACAAAATCTAAAACTGAGTATCATCAAATTACGAGAGAACACTAGTCCATTATGGGTACAGGTTCACATCCGTGTCCTCCATGGGGGGAGGGGAGGTTGACACCAGCGTCTCGGCTTCCTCACAGTTGAGCTCCCACCCACCCCCACTGCCTCCAAACCTGTGGATTTGGGGGGAAAACACCGCTGGGAAGCCCTGAATCCCGCATCCTTTGAAGAAGGCCCCGGACATTTCACTGTCCATAATCTCAAAAGCAGCAAATCCCTCCCGCACTCTCCAAGCCTCCCGTGCCACTGCTGCCAATAACACCGCCAGCCTACCACGACGCCACTCCCACAGACATCTCCTACTTCTTCCCGAGGCCTACTGCTCAAGTGCCGTCCAACTAACACCCGCCCCTTCCTCCCAGAATACACAGCGTCAGCGGAAGAGGCCGCACTGCCTTGATTAACCAGGGGCGGCGACCTGAGCCCCAGCCTGACATGGCTGCCCTGTGCTCACCATGAGCCAAATGCCGCTCCAAGGGCATCGTTGCTCCCAATCCAGCCCATCAGAAGCTCAGGGCAGTGTGGAGCTCTCGTACACCTCCAGGCTGACACCCAGCCACTCCTGCATGGGGCAGCGCTACTGACAAACTGCCCGTGGTCAGGGTACTGAACGGCAGATACACGCCCAGCATCCTTGCCCTTGTCTGTCCCAGGGCTGCTGCCAGGAGTCAGACGACCAAGTGCACGATGTGTTGCGCTCCGGACAGAGAGGTAGGGTGGGGACAATCACTGTGTACCTAAATTGCATTTATGAAATGCATGGACTTTGGATCTCTTAAATACAAAACATATCTTATGAGAACACCTGCACTGTCTTCTCTTGGTCATTTCCTCGCCCCTCCCCTATGTCACAATTGTAGGTGACTCAGTCGCTCATCACTGTGTCCCTGGGAACAGACTGCCTTGCTGGAAGTCCTAACTCAGAACTTTTCATCCCACAACTTGCAGAATACACTTCTTCTCATCAGCCCCTGGAACTTTCTCTAGGACACAACATATGATAGGCCATAAAACAAGCTTAGTAAACTCAGTAACTGAAAATCATTTCACGCATCTTCTATGACCAAAATTCAAGGAAATGGGAAATCAACAACTCAAGAAACTCCAAAACATATGCAAACACATGGAGACCAAACGACATGCTCCTGAATGAATGGTGGGTCATAGGAGAAATCAAAATGGAAATCAAGAAATTTCTGGACATGATTGAAGATAACAACAGCACAACACAGCAAAACGTATGGGACACAGCAAATACAATGTTAGGAGGACACTTGATAACAACTTGTGCCTACCACAAGATATTGGAAAGGCATCAAATAAATGAGCTTTTCAATGCATCACAAAACCTGGAAAACCAACATATCAAACTCCAAATTAGCAGGATGACAGAAATCATGGAAATTTGAGAAGAAATAAACAAAGTTGAAGCAAAAACATTACAAAAGATCACTGAAATGAAAGCTCATTAAAAAAATTTTTTACAAACTTGCTGAAAATCTCCAAAACAAACAAACAAACAAAAAAACAGGAATAAGACCCCAATGAGTAAAATCATAAACAAAAAACAAACTGTAATAACAGAAACCCAATAAATAAAAAAAAAAACATCGGGAATTACTACAATGTACTGTTTGCCAATGAATTGGTCACTCAATAAGTCTGCCTTTCATTTAAATAAATATTAAAAAAACATATAATTATTTCAATAGATGAAAACAGCTGGAAAATATGCAAAAACCTTTCAGAAAGAAAGCCTTAGGCAAACTGACAGTAGAATATTCCTCCACATAATCAAGGCAATTTATGTCAAACCGACTGATAGCATCTTATGAATGGGGACAAGTTGGAAGCATTCCCAACTATGATCTGGAATCAGACAAGGATGTACTCTCATTATTGCTATTCAATATAGATCTGGAAGTTTAGAGCCATTAGGCAAGAAAAAGAAATCAAATGGATACAAATTGGGAAGGAGGAAGTCAAACTATCCCTCCTTCAAAAGCACATGATTTTTTAAATGGGGGAACCAAGAAACTCTACTATGAGATTATTAGAACTCAGAGTTTGGAAAAGTGGCACGATATAAAATCAACACACAAAAATCAATAGAATTTGTATACACACAATGTCATGGCTGAGAGACAACTTCAAAGATCCATTCCATTCACAATAGCTACTAAAATTTAAATACCTTTGAATAAAGGTATCCAAGGAGGTTGAAGATTTAAAAAGCAACTCCAATACTTTTCCAGCTATTTTAAAATATTGAGCTGGATGGAATAGGATTCAACTCTAACAAACACTTTTTGTGAGGCCAGAATTACTCTGACCACAAAAGATAGCTAAACATTGAATGTAAATAAAACTGCTGGCCTAGATCCTAAATGAAAAAGATGCAAACATTCTCAACAAAATTCTAGCCAAACAAAACCAAAATCACACGCAAAAGCTCATGTATAACCTTGATTGGAATTCATCCCAGAAATGCCATGATGTTCCAACATTTTCAAATTAATACACATGATAATTATATCAAACTAATTGAAGAACAAAACCACATTGTCAGCCAGCGCCGTGGCTCACTAGGCTAATCCTTCGCCTGTGGCACCGGCACATCGGGTTCTAGTCCGGTCGGGGCGCCGGATTCTGTCTCAGTTGCCCCTCTTCCAGGCCAGCTCGCACTCTGCTTTGGCCCTGGAGTACAGTGGAGATGGCCCAAGTACTTGGCCTGCACCCCCTGGGAGACCAGGAGAAGCACTTGGCTCCTGCCATCGGATCAGTGGGTGCGCTGGCCACAGCATGCCGGCCGTGGTGGTCCATTGGAGGGTGAAACCAACGGCAAAAGGAAGACTTTCTCTCTCTCTCTCTCACTGTCCACTCTGCATGTAAAAAAAAAAGAAAAAAAAAAAAACACATTGTCAGGGCCAGCACTGTATTGCAGTGGGTTAAGGCCACAACACACAATGCCTCCATTCATATGTGTGCCATTTCGCATCCAGGCTGCTCCTCTTTCCAATCTAGCTCCCTTCTAATGTGCCTGGGAAAGTGGCAGAGGATGTCCCAATTAGTTGGGCCCTTTCAGCCACATGGGAGACTTGGAAGAAGGTTTCTGGATCCTGACTTCATACTGGCTCAGTCTGGCCATTGAGGTCATTTAGGGAATAAACTAGCAAATAGAGAGCCCCTCTCCCTCTTTTCCTCCCTCCCTTTCTTTTGCTCTTGCTCTATCTCTATCAATCTATATCATTCTTGCAAACAAATGAAAATAAATCTTTGAAAAACCACATTATCATCTAAATTAGATACAGAAATATCAATAGAATAAAAAAGGATTAAAAACTACACAAAATAGATACAGAAGGAATACATATCGAATCATAACGGCTTGTATGACATGCCAACAAGCCAATGTCATGCTGGATGGGGAAAATGTGAAAGCATTTTGTCAAACATGTAACAACCAAGGATGTCCCTTTTACCACTCTTTCTGAATGTAGTACTGTAAATTTTCACAAAACAATGAGGGAGAAGAAAGAAAGAATCAGTAAATAGGTTTGAAAATTGAACATCAAATTCTAAGGGCTTGCTGGTGACATGATATTGTAACAGAAATACTAATACAATGAACCCAAACACACTGCTAGGACTGGTGAAACAATTAAGTGAGTTACAGGTTACAAATAACATACTGTAGAAAACAGCAGTGTTTAATACATTAAAGATGTTTTAAAGCTCTATAATCAAAATTACCATATCTTGATAAAAGAATCACCAGAACAGAAATAATGAAATGATATTTCTTTTGATGGATTCGAAGAATGAGTATCATTAAAATGTCTACCTTGGCCGCCGCCACAGCTCAATAGGCTAATCTCCACCTGCGGAGCCGGCACACCGGGTTCTAGTCCCGTTCGGAGCGCCAGATTCTGTTGGCGGTATCTCCTCTTCCTGTCCAGCTCTCTGCTGTGGCCCGGGAGTGCAGTGGAGGATGGCCCAAGTCCTTGGCCCTGCACCCGCATGGAGACCAGAAAGAAGCACCTGTCTCCTGGCTTCAGGATCAGCATGGTGCACCGGTCACAGCAGCGTTCAGCCGCAGCCGCCATTGGGGGTGAACCAACGGTAAAAGGAAGACCTGTCTCTCTCTGTCTCTCTCTCTCTCACTGTCTCACTCTGCCTGTCAAAAAAAAAATGTCAACCTTACCTAATGCAATATAAAAATCAATTAAATTGTTATCAAAATATCATGACATTTCTTTGTGGAAAAACAAAAAAAAATGCCTAAAATTCATACAAATCACAGAAGATCCAGAACAGCTTGGGGGTTCCTTACCAAAAAAACAAACAAAACAAAACAAAAGTACCTGGATGCCTCACAACACACTGATTCAAGCATACTCAAAATCACCTAATTAAAACATCAACAGCAGTGGCATAAAATGTGCACATTGACCAATGGAAAAAAAAAACAATGCAAGTCCCAAAATCATACCATATGTAGAGACATCTGATTTTTATTAAAAGGTCTCAGATATTCACTGCTATAAGGAAAATCTCCCCAAAAACTGTTGTTGGCAAAACTGCATTTATGTACGAGATTGAAATTAGATCCATTACTCACAGAAGAAGAAAAAATCAACTCAAATGGATCAAGGACTTAAATGTAAGACCAGGACTATGAAGCTTTTGGAAACAATGTAGAGTAAGTACTAGAAGACACTTAAGTACAGATTGACTCTTAGAAAAGACCTTCAGGGCAAAGCAACAAAATCAAAACTAATCAAATGGGATTATATCAAAGTCAACAGCTTATGGACAGCAAAGGAAATCATCAATAAAGAGTCCTCCAACAGAATGAGCAAAAATATCTGTGAGCTACCTACCTATCTGAAAAAGGATTAATGTCCAGAATACATCCGCAACTTAAAAAAAAATAAAGAAACAATGAATCCAGATATGAAATGGCCAAAGGAGCTGAACAGAGTTCTCCAGAGAATACAAATGGCCGCTGGTGCCGCGGCTCACTAGGCTAATCCTCCACCTGCGGCACCAGACACCAGGTTCTAGTCCTGGTCAGGGTGCCAGATTCTGTGGGCGGTTGCTCCTCTTCCAGTCCAGCTCTCTGCTTTGGCCCGGGAGTGCAGTGGAGGATGGCCCAGGTCCTTGGGCCCTGCACCCGCATGGGAGACCAGGAGAAACACTTGGCTCCGGCAATGGATCAGCTCGGTGTGCCAACCACAGTGCACCGGCCACAGCAGCCATTGAGGGTGAACCAACGGCAAAGGAAAACCTTTCTCCCTCTCTCTCTCTCACTGTCCACTCTGTCAAAAAAATTAAAAAAAAATACAAATGGCCAACAATTCTATGAAAAAAAGCTCAATCACAAGCCATCATGGAAATGCCATCCAAACCACAATGATATGAGCTAACCCTTTCAAAATGGTTAAGCTCCAAAGGACAGAGTCACAATGATAAGGTGGAAGTGGGAAAAGGGGAACACTACACACTGCTGTTAAATATGTAAATTAGTGCAGGTGCTATGGAAAACTGTAGGAAGACGACGCCCTGGGGGCTGGAGGAACCTGAGAGAATGGCCTTTGGGGCCGGTGCGCCTGAGGCACCTGAAGCACCTGTGGAAGGGGCAGGTGGAGAGGGGAGGGAAGAAGGTGGGGGACAGGGGAGGGTAGCATGGTGTGCAGGCTGGCTGCAGACTCCCACTGGAAGGCAGGGCCTGGGGAGAGCCTGGTCTCAATCTAGGTCCATGAGGACCCCAGGTCTTCATTTATAAACCTGCAGCCATGCCTAACTCCACCACTCAGCCTGCACCTCTATCTCTACAGCTCCCTTCTGGGTCCTGCTCAGAAGAGGGGCACCCTAACCCATCTCCCACAGAGCTGCAAGTGACAGGGTGAGTGGCAGATGCCACCATGGGGGCCAGAACTCCCTTCCACATCCCCCAACAGGCAATCCCTGGAGACCACTAGGAGGTGGCTGGTCAGGTGCCCACCAGTGGGAGCTGCCACCCTGAAAACTAGAGCTAGACACAAAGCAGGCCTGGCTCGACACCTCCTCCTGTCAGTGGCCACCTGACCAGAGAGGCCCACACTGTTGCCCTCTCCTGTCCACTGAGCTGAACACAGGTTGGGAAGGTGAGGTGAGGGATCAGTGCTGGCTGTGGTGGGTGGAGTGGCATCATCATAGGCACTTGTTCTAGTCCTGGCTGCCCCGTGAACACACCTGGGAAGGCAGGGGTCAGAGGATGCAAAAGCCCCACCCCTAAACCACTCTTCAGGGAATGTGGCCATGGCTGAGCCATGGTGGCCACAAAAGCAACAGACAGCAGCCATGTGGAAGCCAACGGTAAGAGCAGCTTCAGACCCCATGTTAAGGACCCAGAATCACCTGAGAGGCCCTAGAGATGCCAGGGACCAAGGACACAGCATTACTGGTGCTGACGAGGGGCAGGGGAGGTCCAGACGTGGACAGACCTGGGGCAGCCAGGAATCCCAAGTACCTGCACCACTCCACAGCCTCTCTCCCGGCTCACAAGCACCCAAGACAGGAGCTGGGAACAGCTGGGACTCAAGCTGGCACCCGAAGGCCATGCCAGTGTTGGCTGTAGGCCCAGCTCTGCCACCTCGCTGTCCCTGATTCCACCAAACATCAAGTGCCTGAGCTCCTAGAGCTCTGAAGGCGTCCCCAGTGCTGAAAATGGTGGGGTTTTAGGGTTTTAAGATTTTTTTTATTTAAGATGCAGATTTGCAGAGAGAGAGAGAGAGATCTTCCACCTGCTGGTTCATTCCCCAAATGGCTACAGCAACAAGAGCTGGGCCAGGATGAAGCCATTAACTATGTGCACACCACACACTTGCACAGTACACATACACATGTGAACCTACATGCACACAGAACACACACATACACACACACTAACATCACCGTCACGGTCCACACAGGTGATCTTACTCCAGGAAGGGGGTGGCCTGCCTGCTGTGGTCCACAGGGAAAACAGAAGCAGTAACCGCACCCAGGAGCCACCAGGGTGGGCATAACTCTGACGCTGGGGCTCTGAGCAGAGTCCAGGGGCAGCAATGTGCTCTGCCCCTCCCCGCCTTCAGAACGTGGAGTCCTGGGGCCCTAAGGGGCAGCTGCGAGGACTGGGTTTCACATTGGTTTTTGTAGGAACGTGTGGAACCCCTTGGCACTGAGAACGTTCCTGGTCCCAGGTGGGTCTGGGCCAGGAGGAAGACTCCCTGACCAGGCCAGCTCTGACTCTTGCTCAGGACCTGCATGGCTGCTTCTCCTCCAGTGCAAGACACAAACACATCCAGAGAGAGGGAACAAGAGGCCAGGGCCAGCGCACTGAGGACAGGCCTCTGCCTGGGACCATGGCCTGGCCCTTCAGGGTCTCCGACACTCACCAGGATGAAAGCAGCCATGGGGTGTGGGTGGAGACTTAGGGTCCTGGGTTCTCCAGTGCCGGTACCAGCATGGCCCTGCGTCCTCTCCAAGGTGAGCATCACAAGGAGATTGGCGGGGGGAGGCAGCCCCTTAACCTGGGCCCTTTTGGACATCTGCAGTCACCTGTGTCCACGACAGGTGCTGGTGTCCTTTGCGCTTTGCTGGGTCCCTTCTCAGGGTGCATTTCTGAGTGGAGACCATGGACCCCCGAGCCCACTGCCCCCTCCTCAGCACCCTCCACTAGGGCCAGCGACCCGCCTGCTGCTCAGGCTCACTGAGGGGGTCTGTCCCACACACCCCCCAGCCCATGCCAGTTGAAGCATGTGCAGGAAGGGCCTGTGGGCTGAAGTATGCATCCTGCACAGCCCATTCAGAGTTCACTTCTGGACTGAGTGTGTGCGCTGCATATGTGTGACTGCAGAGCTCAGAGCCAGGCTACAACTGGCTGCATGTAAAACAAACTCAGGAGCTCCAGAGGGGACAGTGTTCCAGAAGCCGCATTCAAAACTCCATAGGGAATAGGAGGGACCTGGGCTCCTCTTCCTTTAAGCGTACTTCAGGGCACCCACGCTCAGCAGCTGCCCCCAGTGTCCACCAGCTCCTGAGGCCATCGCCTGTCCTCTGGCAGCTCCCAGCCTCTAGCGCCCAGCAGGTTCCTAAGGGTGGGGCCCACATGCTTGCAGGGTACATACCTATCAGCGAAGGAGCCCGTGATCTGAGGCCACAAATGCCAAACCAACCGTGAAACACTGTGGGCGAGGACAGGTTAGGGAGGCCCATGGCTACCTTAGCTGGCTCCTGGACACCAGTGACCACCTCTCTCCCTGCAGGGTTCTCACCCCCAACTCCACACCCCTGGACCCCCTCAGCCAAGGCTTCGACCAGCGTTCTTCATAGAAATGGTCCAGGCGGCTGTAGACACTTCACTGACCTTGCTGAGGATGGCCCACAGAAGTGCAAGTCCTGGGACGCGGGGTGGTTTCTTCCCACTTGAAAAGCTGGAAATGCGGCCAGGGGTATGGCGGCCCATGGTCTGCAGGAGGCCGGGTCAGCAGGATCGTCGGGCCACACAGAGCCTGGCTCTGAGTCCCACAGCTTCGTCGAGGATGAGGCCCCGCCATGAAAAAACTCCCCCAGCAGAGAACGGGAACAACATTCCTGGGGAGAAACCAGGTTTTGCAGGGGCCAGCCAGGCCCGGGCAGGTGGGGCAGGGATACAGAGGCTACAGGGGTTGGGGCACAGTGTCAGCTTCTGTGGCTTCTGTCTCCCTCTAACTGTGCCCCTTCCCCCACTGTGGTTGTGGAAGCTCCCCAGGAGGGCCTGGCCTCGCTGACAGATGCACCAGGGACCCCAGCAGCCCAGATCCTGGAAGGCAACTTCCCACACCACAACACAGTCCCAGTTGCTGACTCTGGAGGTTTCAACGGGTGGGTGTGGGTGGCAGAACCTGCTGTCCCTCTTGGCACTGGGTCCGTGTATATGAGCCCCTCACCCAAAGTCACTGAGGGGCAGAGACCTGGGTGGGACCCCTTGGGTGGGGGATGGAGAATGGTTCCAAGAGGGTGGGGGGGTGTGGCCTGGCAGCTGGAGGTACTCTAGTGGCCGGGCACGGTGACTCTTGGTCAGGTGCCTGTCCATGGGCAGTTTGCTCCACTGCCCACTGCTCCAATTGTCTAGGCCCTTCCCTTGGCACTGGGCCAGTGTGGGAGCCGAAGGCCAGCATTGATGTTCAATCTGCCTAGACTCTATAATTTGAAGATTTCATTTTCTAAGAATTTTTCTTTATTTATTTAAGAAGGAGGGAGCGAGAGCGCACGCTCCTCCTAGGTGTCTGAAGTTGCTGGAGCCCCAGGATGAAGCTGGAAACCAGAGTGGAGCCTGGATGGAAACCCAGGTCTCATCCTGGTGCTCTCACTGCTGGGCCCCAAAGATTGCCCAAGCAGTTTACACACACTGCATCATGGGTCTAATTAAATGCATCATGGGTTCTACTCATGTGTATGAAAATAGGGAAGTAGAGTTTAGAATACCTTGGCAACTGAAACATCATACTGTCCTTAGCTAAGATCTTAGATAAATAAAGATTTGGGCAAGGTTCATCTGCCAGTGTCCTTGTCCCACTGTGGTATGTTCATTTGTCATCGCTTTCTGGTGACTGTCAATTGAGGGTAAAGCCCACAGCACTGACCTCTTACCCAGCCTGAGGAAGACCTGCGAGCAGAAAGGGGCAGCTCTGTTGTGATGATTTGAAGGAATGCTGTACACTTACTCATCCCTGCTCTGGGGTTAGTTTAAAACTAGGTTCCATTGGTCATGAGCCCTGTAAGAGCCCGTCTACACCTGCCACCCCCGTGATGGGCTGGGAAGTGGACCAATGTGGAGAGAGTGGCCAGTGCACAAGAGCGAGTGTGCTCCACACGTGGCTCACAGTCCCACTGAGGGCAATGACCTCACCTGCACAGAATGTTGGCACAGGCCAGACTTCTGTGATGTCATCCTCCGTGGCAGTTATTAGGCCTTGCTGCCAGCACAGTGGCACAGGGACAGGCGCCGAGGGCAGGGACAGAGCAGGGAGAGCAGGTCTGTGGGGAGAGGGCCTGGGGAGCAAGGGAGTGGTGGACATGGGTGAGGGAAGGGAGAAGGCAGGATGGGGGTATGGGCACGGGCAGGGTAATGGAGGATGGGGACAAACAGAGTGGTTCAGGGGTGGGCCAGGGTGGGCTGAGGGAGGGCGAGGGAGGGCGAGGGTGGGTGAGGGTGGGCCGAGGGAGGGCGAGGGAGGGAGGGAGGGTGGGCGAGGGAGGGCGAGGGAGGGCGAGGGCGAGGGTGGGCGAGGGCGAGGGTGGGCGAGGGAGGGCGAGGGGGCGAGGGGAGGGCCGAGGGGGCGAGGGAGGGCGAGGGGCCGAGGGTGGGCCGAGGGAGGCGAGGGTGGGCGAGGGTGGCCGAGGGTGGGCGAGGGAGGGTGGGCGAGGGTGGGCGAGGGAGGGCGAGGGAGGGCGAGGGTGGGCCGAGGGAGGGCGAGGGGGCGCGGGTGGGCCGAGGGAGGGCGAGGGAGGGCGAGGGGGGCCGAGGGGGGAGGGTGGCGAGGGTGGCCGAGGGAGGGCAGGGTGGGCCGAGGGAGGGCGAGGGGTGGGCGAGGTAGGGCCGAGGGAGGGCGAGGGTGGGCGAGGTGGGCCGAGGGAGGGCGAGGGAGGGCGAGGGTGGGCGAGGGTGGGCCGAGGGTGTAGGTCCGAGGGAGGGGCGAGGGTGGGCGGAGGGTGGGGCCGAGGGGAGGGCGAAGGGTGGGCCGAGGGTGGGCCGAGGGAGGGCGAGGGTGGGCCGAGGGTGGGCCGAGGGAGGGCGAGGGTGGGCGAGGGTGGGCCGAGGGAGGCTGAGCATGGGCTTCTTGTGGAATTGGGGGGAGAAGGGGAACACGGGGTGATGGTGGTGGCAGGCATGGAATGGGCACTGGATCCAGGACAATGGGGAGAGCAGTGGAAGAGGATATTGGGGGGGCAATGCTGGGCTCTCTGTAGCATTCATGCTGCACCATGGGGTACTGGGGAGAGTGTTGGGTATTCCTCAACCCAACCTGGCCTTCCCTCCCTTGTGAAATGGCAAGGGTTTGAATCCTGAACCAGATCCAACTCATTGCCTGTGTTTATAAATAAAGGTTCCACATTGATCTGAAAACTACCATGTGGTGTGTAATTTTTCCACAAAGATTTATGCATTGGAAACAGAAATGAGCAAAGAGGTGGTGACAGAGAGGTCTTCCTTCCTCTGGTTCACTTCCCACAGGACCCCAACAGTCAGGTAGGGGCCAGGATGGAGCCTGGAGCAGGGAACTCCTACTACTCTCCTAAATGGGTGGTAGGGCCAAAGTACTTGGGCCTGGATCTGCTGTATTCCTAGGCACACAAGCAGAAGACTGGATGGGAAGTGGAGCAGCTGAGACTTGAAATAGTGCTCCAACGTGGGAGCTTAGCTGAGCAGAAGCTCCAAAAAGGTTGGCTCCCTTGTGAATGTCAGTGAGTGTAAGAGTGTTGCACACCCTAGGGATGGAAAGGTGGTGTTCCATCTGCTAGTTCACGTGCACACCACAGCTGGGTACTACTGCCTGAGACAGTGTTGGGACCCCCACAGGCATACATAAAATCTTTGGCACCTCCCTTGCCAGCTGAGGGAGGCCTGTTTTGAGTGGAGAGCTTCACTGAAGAGGGCCGACTCACCTCGTGGGACTAGAGATGGGAGGGGAGGTCCTGAGCCCAGCAGGATCCTAGGCTGTGTCCGGTGCTGAAGGAGGCTCATGTCTGGCTTTCCCCAGCAATGTGTCCGACAGCTATGAAACAAGACAAAACCAACAACTTTTAAGGCCTCTGGGAATCCACCAAAAAAACCCCAAACCAATCAACCACAAAACAGACAGCACTGATTGATGGAGAATTGCTGACTGCCCAGGAAAGAAGAGTGGCAGAAGGTGGTGTGCTGGCCTGGAGCTGTGTCCCTTCCTCCCCACCCTGAGCTTGTGGTGCTACCAGGGTGGGTAAAGGTGTCTGTGAAAACCAGCAGTTTGGTTTGTTGGACATGGTGCTGAGGGGAGAGCAAGGAACCCATGCTCAAGTCCCTCACCAGTAAAAAGAGCAAACTGCACAGGAACAGAATGCAGGAAAGCAGCAGTCCCTGCTGGCCTAAGGTTAGGACGGCCCTTTGGGACAGGGAAGACCAGTGTGCCAAACAATGTTTTTATTTTTTTATGATTAGGTATTTATTTGAAAGCCAAGATACAGAGACTGTGACATAGAGAGATCTTCCATCCAACTGGTTACTCCCCAGGTGGTTGCATCAACCACTATGGGACCAGGCCAAAGCCGGGAGTCAGGAGTCAGGAGTCGAGACTTCCCGGTCTCCCGTGAGGGTGGCAGGGCCCCAAGCACTTGTTCCATCTGCCACTGCTTTCCCCAGGATATTCGGGAGAATCCTGATCAGAAGTGGAACAGCCTGGATACAAACCAGTGCCCATATGGGATGCTGGCATTACAGAAGGTGACTGAACCTACTATGCTACAACACTGGCCCCCAATTTTTTATTGATTGGAAAGGCAGGGACACACCAAAAGAGAAAGGGCCAGATGGGGAGAACGTCCATCCTTGTTTAGCCCTCCAAGTAGTACACAACATCCATGGCTGGGCCAGGCAGAAGCCAGGACCCAGGCATTCAACCTGGGTCCATGTGAGTGGCAAGGACCCAACAACTTGAGCCACTACCTGTTGTCTCCCAGGGTGGGTATTACAGGAAACTGGAACTGGAAGGAGAGCTGGGACTTGAACTCAGGCCCTCTGTTATGGGATGGGAGCATCCCAACAGGTGGTGTCATCACTGTGCCACACACCCTCCCCCAAAGAGAAGTTTACCAGGAGAATCCTGGATGCCATGGTTGGGCTAGACTGAACTCAGCAACCAGGAGCTTCATTCACATCTCCCACGTGGGAAAGCAGAGAAGATGGCCCATGTCTTTGGGCCTCTGAATCCAACTGGGATACCTGGGGGAAGCTCTCTGAGCCATGGCGTGCAGAAGATCTGCTCCACCCATCCATGGAGAGAGAGCCATGTTCCCAGAACCAGCTCTCTGTGGCTGCTCCACCTTGGGTTTTGAGCCCCTGAGCCTCTAATATGTTGAGTGCCTGGGAGTACCTCATAGTTTTACCTGGGCACACAGCCCCCATCAATCCTCCCAGCCAGACTCAAGGTCAGTGGGGAACAGGGACTTTGCTCTCTGGCAATATCCCTGGATCCCACACGTGCACCAAGAGTCACTCGCCACAGCCCCTCCTTGTTTCACAATGGCACCTTCTCCCCACCATCCTCCAGCTGAACTGCCAGCTGCTGGGCACATGCCCGAGACCTGCTCAGCTGCTTCTTACATCCATAATTCCACCTGCCCTCTCTCAGCCACCTGTTTGTGGGGAAACGGGGAGAGGGAAATGTGCCCCTTTGTCCCACTGGGTAAGTGGTGCCCTGTCGCACTCAGGACTCTAGGCCGCATTCACAGACAGCGCAGTCGACCAGGCTCTCCCTCCAGCTAGATCACCAGTGTCACAGGTTTCTGCACTCTGATCTCACTCACTCTCCAAAGCTGATGCAGCTCCTGGGTTCATGTGCTGTGTCTGTGCTTGCTGCTTTGCGTCCACGTGGGCCTTCCACCATGATCCACGGTGTCCTTCTTCCTTCCTCAGCACTTCCTGTAGTTTGCTCTCCAAGTCTCCCCTAAGAATATACTTCATCCACTTTTTTTTTTTGCTGTTTCCCCTAGCCTAAAGCAGTACACCCCTTCCCCATTCTGCTCTTTTGGAATCTCCAAGATGCTTTACTTTAAAATGGCTATGCCTCATGAACGGGCATAGCAACACAGCAGAACACAGTTTATTGTTTAGAGGTCTGGCATAAGCAAATTCAGTTCAGAATACTAATGTTAGATTTCGTGGCATTTATTCTCACTAGTTAATTTTCAGAAGTCTTACTAACAGTAAGGAATTCCTTTGGGAAATTTAGCAGTTTCCTTGCTGAAAACCACTGGGTTACATTGTTTTGGGAGTGGAACATTGTGCCCTCCTTAGAACATTAGTCAAGGCCTTGATAGTCACTCTTTGGCAAACAACTCTGCTGCTGAAAATACAAAGGGAGAGACAGGAGTGACATTTGCATTTTGATTTAGATAGTACTTTGTTCTCAACTATTTATGGTCTCCTTTCCTCTTCAGAATGCACTTGTACACGCACACACACACACATTCCTCTGATATAAAGTATTCTGTACAGAGAATCGAGCCAATTAACTGAGACATGAGCAATGTAGAGAGTAGAGTGTAAGGAGAGAAAAATTCACTGCTCTACAATTATATCAAACACGATGAAGATTCACTGCTGGTCTGATGTCTGTTTTAGGAGATCATATGATAACAGCTTTTCCCCTTCTGGTTTTTCATTTAGCTGTGCTTTCAGATTTTTTTTTCATGTTTTTGGTAATCTTCCTTTAAATATCTGTACAAGAGTTAACATTGCAATGTGGCATTGCTACCAGTACTCTGCTATGTGATACTTATTTTAACACCTTTGATAGTCTGAGAAAATTTGATGGGTTAGTTTTTTCTGGAGCAATTCCTTTACTTCACTTATTTTAACCCACTGCTTTTGGTAATGCTGTTTATGAGGAGTTGCCTTCACTTCTTGCTCCTGGAATCACGACTATCATGAATATTCTGCTTTCTGACTCCTGGCAGCTCAGGTGAGATGA